GGGAAAGTATTATTTTGTTCTTGTTCTGTTAAATCCAGGTTGCATTAAGACATGCTGCCTGCACCAAGGAGCCACAGAAGGAGAAGTAAATATCTCACTTTAAGACCTAATCTTCCATAATTCTGCCATAATAACTAATTCCAATTTTTCGTTCTAGGTTATCTGTCCAAATAAGAACCTGTTTAGAAGCAGAAAAGGAAAAAAAACCCCAATCATCTCCTCATTTTAGAAACATTTTTAAACAGACTCTGTGTTTACAACCATTTTTTTCAATCACAATCTCTCCAGCACCTGAAGGCAACTGGTTTTCTTAATCAGTACAAAGACACACAGTCCGCCCGTGTGTTTCTCGCTCGCCCTTGCTGGTATCTCTCTCTTTTTCGCTCTGCTTTTCAATTTTCCCTTCTTCTGTTTCCACTCTCTGCTGGTTACGATACCCTCACACACGTGACTCCTGCACCAGGCAGCGGCGACTGAGAGCCATGCTAAACTGATTCCGCACAGTTTTTGTTTCCCCACCCTCATTTGTCTCCTGCCTTTGTGCCACGTTTGAGTTGTTCCGTTTCCAGCTCGCTGCACTCTGCAATCACACGTGTGCCGTGTTCATGTGTGTCAGTCAAGCTCTCCTGTATTGATTGTTTAGTGATGATGAACAGGTGCTTTTCACTGCAAGGCTGTATCGACTGAAGGGAAGTCGTACGTTTCTTAAACTGGCTACATGTCATTAAGATCAGCCTCAAGAAGGATCAACATTTAAAGATTTTCATACATGTTTGTTATTTTGTTTTTGTTTCAGTCTACACATTATTATTTTCTCTTCCTCAGTAAATATCTCTTCAGTTACTTCAAAAAAACACAACAAAACGTTCTCCTCTCTGTACCCATCTGTTTGTGCCCTCCATTGATTTGACTTCTGCTGTTTAAGCAGATTTAGTCACATCAGAGTTCCCGCTCCTTTTTCTCCTTTTTGTCTAATTTTTCCATCTTCTCTCTCCACTGACTGACCAAGGCAGATGGCTGGTCCGCAGGTTGCAGTATTCCTACAGAGCTTGAAACAGAATGTGCTGGCTCTCCTCCCTGGAGTGAAAAAGTTTCATCTATGTCTAATTTGTTAAATCCACACATTAACTGCGCTGACAGTGTTGCTGTGTGCTACTTCACAGTTGAAACCCAGGCATCATCCTGTGTATGAAGTTACACATGAGACTTTTGACAGGAAAACAAAAAGCATTTGGAAGAAATGCTATTGTTTTTATGCACCTCTGTTCTATTCCCCGCCCCAGTTTATCAACGTCTAGGATAAAATATTTTGTCTGTTGCCCGGGGGTCCGTAACATTTTCTGATACCAATTGCCTTTTTGTCTATTATACTAGTACTTTATATTATATCATACGTTCCCTTGGTGCCATAATCCACTGCCTTTCTCCTGCAGCTGTGAGGCTCTGCTGCCTGTTCGTTCTGTGAAACTGGTTAATTAAATCTGTAGATTGAAAGACCCCGGGGAACAATGTTTAATCGATGAGCACAAATAGATGACTTTCAATCCACACAATTCCTCCCATAATGCTAGCCTGGCATTTGGTCCAATCGAGAGTTTGTGTCTGCACTTATACAATTACAAGGAGAAAGTGTGAACAGTCTCAGAGTGATCTCAATCACTAAATGTTAATGCTCTGTACCTTTCTGCGGCAGGGAGGGAAATTGTTTCCCTGCTGCACTGCTCTAATTTTTTGTGCCGTCTTTGTAACGTGTTCCTCTTTGCTTCTCCCTGTTTCCCTCTGGGCTTCCTCCTTCTCCCTGCATGTTCTCTTCTTACCACCTTTCTGCTGCTGATATGTCAGCTATCAGCATGAAAGACCGTGCCTCCCGTGGAGATCTAATGAGTACCTGATGCACAGCAGAAGAGGGTTTTCTGTTAACTAGCAGCTGTCGTCTTATTCATGAAGCCTGACCAGCATCAGCAGCGTCTCACAAGGAGCGGGACACAGGTCACATGCAAATGTTGCTGAAACTGTGCCGAGCCCTGTCCATGAGCAGATGTGTACTTTAATGCACACATACAGTACAGTATTTGCACTCAGTAGTCAGAGAGAGGACTTCCAGGCCTTTCTTCAGCTGTAGGCTGAATCCTGATTTTTCACCCAGATGTTTCTTTGGCCCTGCAGCAAACTGAGTATGACCTCAACATTTCCAGTGACAACAGACATGACCCAGCTGCCTCCCACAACAACACAGAAAGGCAGAGCCACAGAGAAAGTGTAGCTGTGATTCATCACGGACACGGCCGCCCTGAGAGCGGCCAGAGAAGTGGCCTGCAGAATTATCCCACTGGTTTTGATCTTTTCTTACAAGGATGTTAGTACTGTTTTATAAATAGTCCTTCCTTTGTGTCACATGCTTATTTTTGGACGGCCAACCAAATTTAAATAAATAAATAATCAATAAAATATAAAGAGATTTTACATCCAAGTAACTGCATGTTTGACAACATATGTATGTTGTTTGTGGCTGTTTTTGTTTTACTTACAAGACTGTGTTTATGCAGGATATTTTCATTTGCTGGATATATTTATATACAGATGTGATCAGATCAGTGATTAAGTCAGTAATCTATTAGTGTTATTATTGGCTCAATTTGTCTATGATTTTTTTTTTACATATCATTGCTGTAGCTGTTGTCTCTAACTTTGTGGTTTTTTTTCCTCCCACTGGAGGTACTCTACTCCCTGCTATTCTTTCTCCAAAACCCAGCTGTTCACCTGTGCATCATCTCCAAAACCCAGCTGTTCACCTGTGCCCCCGCCTGCTGTGTTTCCCTCCACAGTGATCACTTAACCTTCTGCCCCTCTGTCCTAACTACTCTGCACTTTAAGCCTTTACCTCTGCTTCTCTTCCCATCAGGTTTCCCTTCTTGCTTTTAAAAGTGAAACAGACGTTTGCATTAATCCATGTGAGCAGACTTTAAAGTGTATCTTAAAAAAACAATGCAAATCTCACCACATATTTTGGATGCTGGTGTTTAGCTTTGTTTGCCTGAAATGATTTGAGCTTTTACCTGCATCACTCTAGTTGGATTGAGACGTGAAGATGGTTTAAACACTTGCCTACTAACTTAAAAAAAGTAATTTCTGTTGTCTGCAAGGAATAACTTATAAAGACCAATGGAGAATATTCTAATATTCCAACAGTTCTCACATGCATTTTCTTTTTGTTCGTTTTATCCTAACAGTATACCTTCCTTGATTAGACACTGATTGGATCAGTGTCTTGTAGTGTCCCCGTTGGTGTTTTTTGTTAATGGGAATACAATACAGAAACAGGGGATGAAAAAATGCAAATTTAGAACCCCTCCTGTACTTGTGTTGAAAAGATATAAGATGTTGTGACAGCGACACTGGCTAAGACCAGTACTATCTCAGAGGCATACAGCCTTTGGGAAATGATAGTGTTCTGCTCCTCTTTATCTCCATTTTCTCTTGTGATAATAGTTTGTTTATTGTTATTTCGTTTATGAGTTTTTATTTGCACTTATGAATAAATGTATTTTTTCTCCAGCTATCAAAGCTTAAAACGTGAATTAATATAAATGGAAATTAACTATTACACAAGCGAGTGTATATTTAAGGCATTTTGAAATTGTGAAGACAGCATATATAATTCCTAATCTCAAAAGCTCGAAGGTTAACACCTGGAGTAAATGCAATGGAATGTTTTTTCGAGTTACCAACGTGCACATGGATGGAGAAAATTATACAGCACCACAAACATCACTTTGGTCGTGTAATGATACGTGAAGCAGGTGCTACAGTGTTGATTGGATATGGGTTGTGTTGGCCCCATCTTATGCATTTCAAATGCCTTTGCCCCTATAGCTTGAAGTAAATGTCTTGGTTTAAATATGTACATCTTCATTTGCCCCTCTGATCACATCAGGAGTAGACAGCCTCCTCCGGAAATCCCCAGTGGTCGGTGAGTTACTGAGATCAAGACATGCCGTGCAGGGAGGTGGACAAGAGATTTGTGTGGATGCGTGGCTGCCTGACAGACTTTACATCAACCACTGGACTAAAGCCAAGTTTGGAATGAGTGTGTGGTCCTCCATCATTCACAAAAATACACTATCCCTTTGGCCTGTAGCTAGGACAGGGAGGACACTGCTCTCAGATTGTTCAGTCCACCAGGGGTCATCAAATACATCTCAGCAAGGGGATGAGTTACTGCCAGCTGGATAACAGTTAAATAAAATGTAAATAAAAAAGTGAATTCACTATATGCCAAAAATATATTTATTGGCCATAGAAAAAAGAAAAATTAAAAATATTTAAATATATATACTTTTTTTTAATTACCTCATCTAACTCCAACAAAATACTTTTTTTTAATTACCTCATCTAACACCAACAAGAAGGCATACAATTTATTTGTCTCTGTAGCAGTAATTCTGAAGACCTATGTTAGGTCAAAATGTATAGCCCTTTACACAATGTGTTTCTTCCATCTTTTTTCTGCTACTGGGGCCTAGAATTACTGGTTAATCTCAATCTGTATGGAACCAGTCTAATCCTGGACGCAGAAGTAATGAGGTGATGTGTATCCAGAATGATGGAATGCCTGATATGGAGGGACCTTGGGAGGACTTCACTGTCAGCAGTCACCAACTGAGTAATCCTGACTTCTCATTTTATCAAGTTGCAAGGCAGCTAAATGGTTGTCTGGTGGATTAGGACAGTCATTTTCAGGGGTCCTTGGTGTCTAAGAGAAATCACCTCCATTAGATTATTTTAGAATTCCCTACGAACTAATACCATGGGTTTATGGTGTGTATTTTTACCAAGAGACCTGTACTCTGAAAACTTGAAACAAACCTTTGATAACCACAAAAACAACAATTTTAGTGTGTCATCTTCACTGGTCACATTGGGTCATCTGTGTGAATTCTTTGTAGGTAAAAAGAGACAAAGGTTTTATCTTCCTGTCTTTTTTGTTTCGCCAGGGACCGGAAGTTTGTGGGGCTAAATGACGATGACGAAAATAGTCAACTTTTACACTGGTTTCGTTAAGTGAACGAATGAGAGAAAGGGATCAGTTTAGAAGCGGAAGTACATGGTTATTAGCTTGACCTAAACATATCCGGGAAATCGATATGTGGACCGAGTTTAGTTGTAACGTTAGCGAAAACAAGACGCAATGTGAACAATGTCCAAGAAAAGAACGCGACAAATTTGGTGCGTCATCTGCCGGCATGTCACCCCGAAAGCACTCCAAGGTAAGTTAGCGAACCCTCTAAAACTATGTCTCGGCTTGTTGGACGTCATTTTAATACTACCATGTAAGTTAGTATACTATTAATCAACGTAATACTAAATTAACAGACTGAACAATTAAATATGGATTAAGTCCAACCATTAATTCAACAGATCAAATTAATTTATCAAATCAAAAATGTAAAAAAGCACATAGTTGCAAAAGTGTCTGATGCTTGGTGTGGTCTCAAACTACACTAAGAAAAATTAGCTTGAACCTTCTTGTCTTATGCTTTCTTATTTGATGAGTTTCAGTCATCAATAAAAATATCTATGAATTTTAAACCTCAAATGACAAAGGAATTAATTGGAATTTAATAGTGGAGGCAACAGGGGGCGAGCAACTGTTGCGGTCCAGTAAAGTAAAAATCACTGGTTTAAACTAAGGCCTTTGGAATTAGCAGAATTCCATCAAGGTTTCAGGACAGAAGAGTTAGTGTAATGATAATAGGTGTGGTGAAGATGTCCTCAAAAAGTGTTTGTGCTTTTTTTTTTATCTGATGGAACTATTGTTCAGACCTTGGCTGCCATGTTTTTGGTGATCCGTGTGTCAGGCTGGTTTTTGTCTGTCTGTTTGTATATTGTGTATTGACCAGGGATTTAAGGTGGAGTTAGGGGAATATCTTCTAACAGTAGTCCTATAGGTTGACTACATAGTATTTAGACGGACCCACAGGGGAATTGACTGTCGTTTAATTTAATTTAGACAGAAGGAAATTGCTTTCACACTCAATCAGTATCAGTCTCTCTGTCACAGTGGCAGCAGGATTCTCTCTCCTGCTTTGTAAGCCCAAAACCTTGAGCATCTTGAGTGGTGTTAGACAAATCATTTACCTCCTCTTTGTCAGACCTCGCTTAGATCTTTGGCTTCATACAAACTTAATTAATTCGGTTAGCAACAGGGGAAATCTCAACTGCTGTTGTGTTTTTGTATGATTTGTGGCAAACAAAACGGTTTTGTGAAGTAATTAATCAAAGAATATTGAAGGTTTGGCAAAATGGTGAAATAAATTGGATTGGTCACCTGTGCACTCATTAAGACAGATAACGATCTATGCTTACATTCACTACTATGTGCATTTTTGGAACCATTGATTGTTTTATGTAAAATGGGGCAAGTGAACCACTGGCCCATTTTCTGGCCATGGTACAGATGTTCTAGGTCAGGTATGTTTGCCAGGGTGAAGCCAGTCAAACCACATTTACACACTAACCTCAAACACAGCACAATCCAAACAGAGCCATCTGACAAATACTGTTCTCCCCATTGTACTGGTGTTTATTTTGGTGAAGACGGGTCACCTTCGACTGGTTGGCAGTCAAGTGGGAAAACATGTTTTCTAAATTTTAATCCAAAATACTGAAACATGGATTCTATAATGATTTTGACACATTTTCACACCAAATGCCCCTCATGGTTAATACACTGTGTTTATCAGGTCTAAAGCTAAGAACAGGCACAGAGCCAGATTCAAACCCCTGACCTGTTTAGTGGAGACACAGCTCCCTGCAGACCGGATCTTTCAAATGACCCTGTGTGATGTCTGTTTTCTTCCCCTTTGTCATCAATTCTGACTCCTGTTTTGAAAGCACCAAAAGAAACACCGTATGTAAGAGTGACACAGTGGAGAATTATGTCCATCACTCATGTACTGTATCTCCCTGCACAATGGTCATCTAACAGGAGTGACTGCAATGTCCTTGTGGGAAAATGATTCACTGAAGCAATTCATTCATTTAAAAAGAATTGACAGACATTTGAAAATTAACACACAGAGTAATTGTTTTTTAAACTAATACAACAGATAAAAGGGGGAAACTTGTGCTTAGCTGCAAGCTACATCATAAAACGTAAATAAAAATAGATTTAATAGCCTAAATTGGGGCAGGTCTAAATTGGGTTAATAGCCTAAATTGGGGCAGGTCTAATTTGCAGACGGAACTCATTCCAGAGTTTAGAGGCTGTGACTGAGAAAGTATCGTCTGATCTGTGCTTTGACCTTAAACAAGGTTCATCCAAAAACATCGTCATCAGACCTCAGTGTCCTTAAAGTTCAGGAGCCGGGAAAAAGATGTGAGGCATATTTCTGTGCTGGTCAATTTGGGGATTAACAGGCAAAGATTAAAATTCAAAATCAACCCCAAAATGAATGCAGAGATTAGAGATGTGCACTCGCCTGCCTGATCAATTTGCTCACCTTAGAAGCACTTTTTAAGACCATGGTGTCGACCTGGGTTGGATTCTCTAGGTGTTTTTTCCTAAAATGGTTTTTTGTTATTTTATGGCTTTCATGTTCACTTTTGAGTTCCTTACAAGGCCTGGATTCTTTTTCTAACGTGTCCTGTCTGGCAGAGCAGGTATGAAATGCATTCAATTTGCTCTTTTTTCTCAGAAAGATTATTTGTTTGTCTTTTACTGGGTTATATTTATTGTTATATTTTCATTAGGTACTGTATGCTGGAATGAACGGGAGTAAAAGAGTGACAGGATGGAAAAGAAAATAAGGACAAAAAAACAGGTAAGAGCAGCTGCATGGATCGGTAAGCAAAAAAAATTTGAATTTCTTTAATTTTTAATTCTATCAACAGCAAGAGTAATTCATCTACCCCTGACGTCTTTTCCCTGAAGCCTATCTTTCTGCCCACAAGCAACTAAGTTTAGTCCAGTTGCTATGGATTCACATTACGTAAAGGATGAGTGACAACCAGAGTCACACATTTAGTCTCAACATTAGAGCTGAGTCGTTGCAGGTTGTCTAAATATATATAGATATATAATTTATCTTCTGCTGCTAAATCCTTTTCACTTTTGGGGTGTGGCTGGAGCTAATATCAGCAGCATATCTACAGGGAAGGCATGGTACAACCTTCACAGTTCTCTGCTCTATCACATCATAGAGACATATGTTTTATGAATATGTGTTTAGATAAATAAAAATGTTGAAATGATAAATATAAATCAGGACCTTTGTTTTGGGTTAAATAGTTTGGTGAAGATGAGCGTGTGGTTGTTTGTTTTCCTCACTAATCTACATCATCTGATTTTGTAATAAGCGAAGAGCTGCTCCAAAGCAGAAAGGCAGAACTAACAGCAACATTACACTAATCAGGATCCCAGCTCAGTAGGAGGGAGCTCATCTTCCACACAGACAGTCTGCTTTTCTATCCAGCTGGGTGCAGACGTGTTTGTCGAACCTTTATTATTCCACAGCCACGTGGCGCTAAAGTCATACACCTGGAAAAATGGGAAGGGTTACCTTAGGCAAGTGGTCTTGTTTTGTATCTCAACCAGTATCGTGCACATCACAAGCTGTGGAATTCTCTGGTGAAAAGAACTTTATATCGATCCTCGTATTGTTTGACTCTTCTAGTTCTTTAAACCCATGGTTTTTCCTCCAACTACTATAATTTGAAGTCAGTTGTCTTTGGCGAGGCTGTTTGTATCCCAGGCACAGTCAGTGTGGACTATTATTAGTCTCACAACTCCTGCAGATATAACAACATGAGTCTGTCACCATACAAAGTTTTTCTTCACATCATTTTTTATCAATCATAAATTGAGCAGGAGCAGTGAAGCCAAGTCACACTGACTTGCAGCAAGTCTGTCATTTTCCTATCAAGTAGTAAAAAAAAAATTAAACCCAAATGGAGATCAGCCTGAATTTTAAACGCCAGAGTTTGTGCGTAGCTTCTAGTTATCATGTACAGAGCAGTACAAGGAGACTGGCAGTGGTGACGGTGGTGGAGCAGCATCCCTCAGGCGTCTGAACATTTGCATATTCATGGACTTGGGTTGTGAGGAGGAGACTAGATAAGAATACCTCTGCAGTTTATTACATTTTTATTGGTGTAAAGTCCATTATCAACAACATATTGCTCATTTAAGTGCATTTTAATATTTTCAAAATGAAGTCCAGAGGGGATGTTTAACGTGAGGATATGCTTAAGGACCAACAGTTTTTTTATGAAGTTATTCCATGCGTGTGCAATATATGTGACTTAAAGTTCAGCAAGCAGATGGGCTTTTGATGTTCCTTCAAACACAGATTGACATCTGACTCTCTGCTAATGTCCTCAGTTGTGAAGGAGAGAAGAAAGAAAAGCAGGAACGATCAGATTACTCTCCACGTGCTTGTTACTTCTCTTACTTCAAATTTCACTTTCTACTGGCAGTCCATCAAAGGCTGTCGACTGTCATTTCTCTGCCATCTCATCATCCTACATGTCCTCACTTCCTTTCATCCCCCTGTGGTGTTTTTGTGATTCCTCTGCCATCCCTGCAAATCAGGGAAACCAATCCACTCTATGTTAAACTATATTTGAACTGAGCAAAACTTCAGACTCATTGTATTTACTGTGTTTGTTTGTTTTTTTTTTTTGTGTTAGGAACCATGTCCTTTTTACTATCTGTTATATTTACTCACTCTATTTAGCTAGCATTAGATTTTTGACCTCACTAATTTTTCACTCTTTTGGGAAGGCTTTCAGTTGCATCTTGCAATGCTTCACTTCATCAGCACAACTGAAGCCTTCTGGGAAGGTGATCACTGCCTAACCAGGGCTCTGCGTGCATCCATCTAGTTAGAGTCACAGCAAAAAAAACCTCTAAAGCGTCATTACAATCAGTTTCTATTGATCTTTACGATTGTCACGCTACGTCACCGTTTGACCACTGCTACTTATGAGACATGTCAACGCAATTGACAAGTCAGTGATGTCATGAAGTCAACAGGTTCTGATTGTCCCAGAGGACAAACCGGCGTTGATGTGTGAATCCATTTTTCTCACTCCATAAATTTAATATCCTGTAAAGGACTTTACTGCATAACACGCCAACAGGACCATACTGCTGTTCAATTTTATTAGTCAATAATTCCAGAATAACACTGGTCCACCTTGTTGTCCAGCTGACGCTTTATAAACAGACAATTTATTTGAAGATAAATCTATGACAGATGAGATGTATGTCAGACAATCACATCAATTCTGCATCATTAGAGTCTGGGTAATCAAATGTGATGGAGTGAAAGCACCTTATAAAGATAACCCCTTAAGATCCTACAGGAAAGAACTATGTCAAGGTTAGATCACACATCCATCACACCATTAGCAGAAGATTATTCAGAAACGCTCTGTACAGCAAATCACTCTAGGCTTAATGGTGGCTGTGTTTCTCCGACACACGGCTCTAGACTCTTGGAATGTTTACATTACATTTGTCAACCTTCCCCTCTGTATGTCTCCCTCCTCCCTACCTCACTAACAAAAGCTCAGCCATAGAATTATTCTGAATGAGCTTTTTCCCCTATTCGTTTGGCTGCTCACACCAGTGAAACTCATCAGTAAAGGTCAAACCATCACATGATATTTTCATTGTCCGCAGTCCTACTGAACCGGCCGTGGCTGACCTTTCGTATTAACTTCCTCTGACCTCTACGGCCAGTGGAGCAGTAAAGAAACACTAACGGTCTTCACCTTCAAGCTCAGCCGATCGCTGGTATCCATCGGTATTCCGTAGCTTAATTAGCTCACGGTGTTTCCAGCAGATTTGACAAATTCCCAGATACACCGAGAATCCAGCATTCACTGCAGGTAACAGCTGTTACTACAGCTCATCATAATCTGGCCTTTGGGAAATGAATCACTGTACACACGCATCATGGTCATTACACACACAATTTAAAGCTGCCACTAGTGAAAAATGATTTTCAGCCTTCTCTCCCTGGGTGTACCATTCTGCCATCGATCTGCTCAGACAACTATTGGCCAAAAAGAAGTTTCAGTCGAGGAAAACTTTTTGCTGACTCTGAAGCAAATATACAACAGCAACAAACATTTGTAGTTTTTGTGTGTGCGTGTCGGCGGGTCCAGTGGGTCACAGGTATTTTGAGCTGAATTTCAAATTATATATATTTTTTTTTTTCTGATGATGTTAAAGTAAAAATACAATTATTTATGTATTATATTTCTGGGTCATTTCAGGGACTGAACCAGTTTATTTATTTTTAAATATAAATTTATTGTAAAAACAGGCTAGAGATGAAACCAGGAACTGTGATGTAACATTCATTATTACAAAGATGCCATGTTTGCCTCCAGAGCTGGTCTATATCTCTTGGTTTGAGTTTTGGAATCTGGATTATTTAAGCTTTGTGACCTTATCCTGCTGGGTTTTAATTGATTGAACTGTGGCCACCGGGGGATACATGTAGTAACTAACAATGCATAGAGCAGCTGTTACAGATAATCAGTACTCCTGTGGTTCAAAGAAAATGTCTCCAACATCACTGCAGCACCACTTCCAAACTGAGTGGATGATCAAATCAGTATGGATGCATATTTTTTAGATTCTTGTGTAAATTCATCAGAAAAGACTATTTCTAGTATCCAATTTCAGTGCACCAGTCTGAAGTGAGCCTCAATTTTTATTTTCCAACACTGACTGAAGTGTCTCGCTAAAACCTGAAATTCTACAAACCTTGGCTGCAAGCAGTGGTTATGAGTTATTATTGTCTTCAAATTGCCCGGCGTTTACACTGCTCTCTGCTTAGATGAGTGGTCTTGGTCTGTGCAGATCTCTGACGGCTTTTTGTTGGCAGATGATGAGGAGGATAGAATATGGACAGACGATTACATTTTCTATTTAGTAGATGCCTATTACAACAGTCATGCTAACATATGTTGAATTACAATCTTTCTGTTGCTTTCTCTTTTCAGTTTTCACATGACATGCCCTTAATTTGAAACCTCCCACTGGAGCCAACAGTGTAAGGACTATTTATGCAGCCTTAATGAATGATGTGTGAATCCAGCTTCCTGTATATTTCAGCAAGGCCTTTAAAACCACAATGAGCCATTATAACGTGCACGGGCAGGCACTGATGAAATATTCAGTCAGGTCGTAGAATGGCGGGAGAAGGTCCCACCTGATTTACAACATTGTCGGCTGATGATTTATGTGTATAAATGAATCCTGAAAGACGTCAGGGAGCTAATAAGGCGTTTGGCCTCCTGTTTAGTGAGCAATCATTTATAAGGGGCAGTGTGGTTAGCTACACAGCAGCTCCTCTCAGGGTGGTCAGAGGTTACCATGGGGACAGAGCAGAAGGTCAGGAGCTTAAGTGGTTAGAAGTGAACTGGAGCCATGTTTGGAATATGAGACCCAAAGGTTCAGATGTACGAGGGAGCTCAACAATCAGACAGTGCCAGATTTGATATTTTTCGCTTTTGTTTTTATTGTATTTTATTTTTGGAGTATTGTTCATTTTTTTTGGTATTAATAAGGAAAGTGAAGTACTTGTCACAAAACGAAATGTGACGTCTGCATTTTAACTATCACCAAAGTGTTCAGAGCACCTCGGTGGTAACTTGGCAGCTGGTGGACTCAAACCTGAAGCCTGTCTGTTTCCTTAAACATCGAGCTGATATATATATGTATATGCACCACAAATAGAAGGACACTTGAAGGTGTCATGATGATTTTTGAATCTGTATGTATTTAAGAGAAATCCGGTCACAGCTGTGGTAACTGTAACAGCTCGTCCAATCTGTCTGACTACCATGGTAATAAAAACTGGCACTTTCTCATCCAAGTGAAAGACTGTGGCTGCTCGGCACTGGCAAAACAAGGCCCGGCTGATATATATTTCTAGATAAATATAACAACAGCTGCAGCCTGATTGTCTTTCCTCAATGACAGTACCTGCTGAAGCTCACAGCACTGGCTTCATGAAACTGTTTTGTTCTCAGAGGGAGCAGCTCAGATTATTCTTTCTTATGTCGTACCAGCGTGACAGCAGATAACAATCTAACTGTTGCTGTTTTTGTGAAGTGCAACAATAACGCTGGTCTCGGCTCAGACTGCACCTTCTCCAGCAGAGAGCGGGGGAGACGGCTAAGAAACTTGCAGTGATCCAACATGAATTTTACCTTCCAACTGGATAATTGGTTGAAATGAGCAATGGGGGCCGTCAACCAACTGACATTTGGAGCTGTTTTGCATGGAAATAGTGCCCAGTGTCACTCACAGAGCAACAGTGGAACAGCATGAACACAGCATCAACTCAGCGTTAATGCTTAAGGACTGTTATTAAAGGTCTGGTGTTCAACCTTTAATGTTGCATTTAAAAAAAATTGTTATTAAAGGTCTGGTGTTCAACCTTCAATGTTGCATTTAAAAAAATTTCTGTTGTAAACTCTTTGGAGGTTTATTTAGAAGAGAGTAAGTGCTGTGTAACTAAACCACTAGAATTAGTCGGCCACAGGTTGGAGGTACTTTGACGTTAGTTTGTCTATACCGACTAACATAGACTTTTGGAGATAAAATGAGATCCCATTTCAACTCAAAACTGTTTTTCTTGGTGAGTCAGACATTCGTTTTGGAAAGTTCTTTTTGGCAAGAGAACAAAACTGAAGAAGCATCTTCAAATAATTATCTTAAATATTTTCTGCTTAACTCTTTGGAAAAGAGCAGGGTGCTGTTATTCAGCCTTTCCATAGGACAGTGAAGGCATCGCTGCTTTACCTGTTCCCTGTTCACTCTGCTGGATCTATTTTCCACTGTAAAAGATTTTATGAAGAGTGTCAATATGAATCACATTTGTTCTCAACCACAGAAAAAATCATAAAATGCACAAGTTTTAGCCGTGGCAGATAGAGGTTCTAAAAAGTCCTCATCAATTTTAACTTAAATGTAGATCACAGTCAGGGCCTCTGGACATATTGTTAAAAAATTCAGTGGAGGTTTGGGTGAACCCTCTTAGTGTAGCTTTGGGCTCCAGGCTACTGCCTGTAGGAAAATCACTGCTTAAAATACAAAGAGCTATGAAAAAGTTGCTATTGTTTAAATGAACTTGTGTCTGTGTTTGACTGTTAATCTGTGATAATCTTGAATTCACCTCTAAACCCACAGAACATATTTTTTTCTCATTAACTCTTATTTGGATCCACAGTAAAAGTTTAAGGCTTCTTCCTCATCCAATATTTTTGCACCAAATTTTAAAGATATTGGTTTAGTATTTTTTTTTTGTATAATCATGAGACACAAAGATGAGAAAAACTAAAGAAACAGAACATCTGAGATAATTGACACCTACTGTGACTCTGAAGTAAACTCAAAACACCTTTGTCTTGGTTCACGCCAGCTGCTCACACCGCGCTATTTCCAGACAATGAAAGACTGTCTCCAGACTGCTGTTCTGTGAACAAGTTTTGACAGACTGCCTTGTGTTCTCTGCACCACAGCCGACAAGGAAAAACCATTTATTTTTTATTTTACTCTGAAGTTGTGGATATTTAAAAAAAAAAAAAAAAAAAAAAGCGAGGCTATTAAATTTACATTTGCTAGCTGGCTGCTAATACCAGCACAGCTGAATGTTAGTATTTTGTTGAATCAGTGTGTGAATGATCTCTGCACACAACACAGTAAGACAGGAGTTTTATGGCTGCTGCAGTGTGTACGAGCTGCCAGTCTCAGTCCGATCAATCACATTCAGCCCTGAGAACTTTGGACGAGCCACATCTGGCAGAGTATTGTACATTAAAATGCTCTCTCAAATCTACGGCCTCAGCTCTGGCCTGGACTCAGCACAGCAAACTAAATGACTAGCCACAATGTGGAGGAGAAAGAACAACAGTCCTCAGTGTAAACACTGACATTTTCAGTGTTTTTGTACAAATTTGTCAAACTTTAAATGTGATATGTAATCTTAGGTTGATACACTTGCAGGATAAATTGTTCTTTCTACATACAAGTCAATTAATAAAACCTCAATAAAACTGTCTCCCAATTAGCCACCAAACCAGTCTTGGTATCTCATCATTATTTCAATCACTTGTACGTTCCATTTAATGGTAGACTTGAAGGTCACAGCCTGGATGACTGTGTCACCATGAATAATATGCTGTTGCCCGGCGCTCTACTCTTATTAGCAGCTACTGTATTTCACCCAACAGTCTTCAGCAACTTCATCAAAAGAGCCCAGTTTTTGCAATAGCAAGATGTAGATTGTGTTTTCCAGACACTGCATAGATTTTCAACACCTCCACTGAAACAGCTTCTGAATAAATCATCGATGGCAGAGAGGGCGCTGGGCCTTTACCGGCAGTTTTAACCTCTCTGCTTTTACATTCCAAGCTGTTGGTGGACTTTAAACCTTTCTACACCAATGTCGGACTAGGAGGGTGGCAGCAGACAAATATTAATGTAGTCTGTAGACGTCAGTGCTTATTGTAGCTACTTACACAATCATTTTATATCTGTATTCCTTCAAGATTAATACACACTTTTCATCTGGCCACAGTAACGTTAGCTCCTCCCTCCACTTATACTGTATGGAGATAGTGTAACCCAGAAGGGATCCTACAGAAATCCTCATTGCTGTTCCTTAAAACTGTCAGTCTCCTCTCTCCCACTCTGCCCTCTTGTCCCCTACAGATATCTGCATGGTCTGGTAGTCAATTATATCCCCTCACCTTCAGAGAGCTTACCTCCATCAGGGTGCAGGAGGCAGCAGAGACCCGTATCTTTATCTGATCTTTATCCTCTGCTCTGCAGCTGGAATGGAGGAGCTGTCAGCTCCAGCCTTCATTTAACTCGCTTGTGTAACCCACCAGAGACAACAGCCACCACAGCTGCATGCTGGGAGTGATGGTGACTGGATTTATGCAAAATTGTTATATCATTGTGCTGCTCAGAAAACATTAAAAATGGAATAAAAAACACAGACAAGATCAAGTCATAAGTAACACATCACTAGGTGAGAACGGCAGTGTGTTCATTTTCAGGGCTGCTGCTGTATGTGTTTTTCTTGTGTTTTGCAAATGCTCTGGACATTCTTGGTTGGTAATGTTTACCAGTGGAAGATGGATTCAGTAGGTGGCAGTAAAGCGACTAAAATAAGCTTCAGAGGGAAAAAAAGAGGATTCAATGAAGTTTGGAAGAAGAGTAAAGGACTATAAATATCTAGGTTTAAAATGTTTATCACATTATTTATGACGGCTTAAAAGATATTCCTTCTAGTTGTTTTTCATTATGGCGTTCATATGAGTACTATGTATGTAGCTCCACATTTTGTTCAAAACCATGGACAGCAACTATCTGAACTACAGTTAATGCATCATGTCCTGTAACCTGTCTGTTCAACTGTCAGTAACTGTTAGATACGTCCTGCATCTTTAGTCCCAGGGCCTCGCACCTTTACGATTTGATTTGATTTATAAGAAGAAGAAAAAAAATCTTGCCCATTTAAAAAACTGATGATTTAAACTGTTTATAGCACCACCTACAGACTCTGGGGCTCTGTGTGTGTACATCCCAACTAACTCAAAGTTCTACCATAGGCCACTTGTTATTCAAACTGTGGGCCAAGTGAGGCAACGTTGGCTGAGTCACCTGAAATTGCTGTATGTTTATTTCATATGATAAATGGTAATGTAAAACGCATCAATACAATGTAAAATAGATACAAAGAACTCTCCTTGGAAAAACGTTTTAAAATGTTGTTGTCTGAATAAAAAGCAGTTCCTATTTTGGTATTGTTCCAGCAGTAATAAGGTGTCACTGTGAACTCAGCCCCCTCCCCTTATGGTTGGTAAAGCAGTGTCGATGCCATTAGTCATTAGTCATTTGCTGACCTGCTATCAGGCCAGGGTAAGACGCACATGGGGAATCAGTCATAGTCAATTATACGCCACTGTCCATCCATATGCTTCTTTATGCAAATTCTCCTTGACCTCTTATCCAGCCACTTTCTCTCTTCAGACTCCTGACCATATCTGTTCAGATCAATAAACAAATTCAGACAGCACTGAATAACTGATGTGAAGGCAGGCGACAGATCATCACACCCCCTGGCCCCCCGCCCGTCCCCAGTTTTTCTCCAACATTTTTTAAACTGTCGAATAAGAAACATGAATTTGGCAAAATATGTTGTGACTCCGTCTCAAGGTCTCTGCAGTACACCCCTTCACTGAAGGCACTGTGGAAAACAGGATAGTGTTCTGATTGTCCCGGACAAGTCAGTCCACTGATCCTCAGGGTGGGAGAGTAAGATCAATCACATCCCATTCTTTTATTTATCCGTTCTATTCCTTGCTCTCCGTCTGTTCATCTCTTGGACGACGTATCCTTCTCTTGAGAAGCTCCACTTTGTCATTGGCCAGGGCCTCTCTGAGGGCACTGAAGAAGCCTTGGTAGTGAACCACGTTGTGGATCATAAGCAAGACTCCAGCCAGCAGCTCATTGGTCACAAGCAGGTGATGCAGGTACGCCCTCTGGTGGTTTGTGCAGCAGTAGCAGCCACACCCCTCCACCAGGGGCCTGAAGTCATCCCGGTACCTGGATGTAAATTCACCATTGTGTTAAATTAAAAAAAAACTGAACAAAATGACAGACTTCTGAGACACGGCTGCTACTAAAACAAAATTCCAAACAAACCTTTTATCTTTGAGATTAATCTCAAAGGGCGTTACAGATGCTTGATCCTCAGGATTAGTATCTCCATTCTGTGGCACATCTCCTGCTGGGTCCCTCTGGTTGTCATTCAGCTCCAGCACTACAGCAACACACGGTCACATCTCATTAATCACAGCACAAACACAGACTAATCATGTCATAATCTCTTCCACTTTCTCCATACACCAAGTGGACACACTGTCTGCTCAGGAGAAAAAAAATAAATCAAATGCCAGCACATACCGTAGCCAGAACACGGGCCTGACCTATATTCTCTGTCAATAACATAATTACTTATGTTCTGACTATCAAATCCTGTCCTACACACACGGTTGCGTCCTAGAAGATGTCTTGGCTTTATATAGTGAAACTGTTTGTAGTGAAAGCAGTGATTAAACGCGCAGCTTAAAAAGGCAACAATAGCACAAGATGGGGTTGAAATGGAACAGTGGGTGATACATGTGCAGTGTGTACAAACAAAGGGTAAAATGGGAAATTCTGATAGAGTGGTTGCTGATAAGCACCGGAATAAAAGGGGTAATTGAAGCTCAAGCAGAGCTGGACTGGAATTCTAAAGAACATGCCAATACTTAAATGTTAACTGCTTCTCAACATGCTTCCAAACCAGCAGATCCCTAACAGATTGTGTGATATTAAGATGTGTTGTTTGTGAAGACTAATCAAGTCCCAACAATGTCTCATCATTTGATTTCCTTGCTGCTTTATTTCCTTTGTTGCAGTCTCACTTGCTGTCATAAGTTTGGACACGGTCTTAGCCACTACTTGTTTATTAACACAACAAACTTGGAGGAGCTATTTTACTGCAGTCGTCAGTTTGTATCACTTCTGATATCATGTCCCCTGAATCACTTATGCTTTCATCACTGCAGATGAATGATGTCTTGTCACAGGCTGAGTTGTCTCAGCAATGTCTGCTCTTTTTTATTATTATTTATATAGTGCATAATTTACTAACTGATACATGACAAATCCAAGAGGTGTAAAAGTACAGTATCTTTGGGTGTACAATTTCAAATATATATTTAATATTGACAACTGTATTTTCCAGACTATAAGTCGCTCTGCAGTAAGTCACATTAGTGCCCTCTAGCAGCAGTCAGTGTGAAATTAGTGAAATTATATATTTTAATATATAAGTTGCAAACCCAGGCAAAGGATAAAAAATAGGGTAATTAGTTTGGGGGCTTTTAGTTAGTAAAGTTGGTTTGCGTTGATGCTTTTATTTTCACTGGAGACTCAACTGAGCCTGTGTCTAGATTTTGAAATGAAAAGATGTTTTAAAACAAAAAAAAGGAAAAGATAGAGGGTACTAGAGAAGGGTGAGAACTAAGAAAATAAGGAAAGTAGACATTACCATAAGGCCTGTTCTGTCAAAAAGGACATGAACTAGGAAGTGTGGGTGTTGAGCCCCCTCCCTGCCCCCACCGACCGGCTCCAAATGGGGCGTTGTAATTGGCTGAGAGGGTAATAAATAATTTCCCTTTAGGTCTGACTGCATCGCAGATCTCACCTCCACTGAACTCCATTAAGCTCCCGGTGCAGAATCGATTAGTGCTGTCTGACACTTGATGCTGTCGGATGGCGAACTCCACTCTGTCTGTCAGAGCAGTTAAACACAACTTTTTAATGAACCACAAAAGTCTGCAGCCGGGGGAGTCGATGTATTTCCTGCAGCTCTTGTCATAACATTCGTTGGCTTTCCACTTGGGACAGAAATCTGAACGACAGGCTGGGGCTTAATTGTTACCTTAAAAGGAGCCTCTGTGTGACAAATCATTGATTTAATTTCTGCAGCTGAATATCTCCCCTTCCAATTATTTCAAGTGACCTGGGGCTAAATAATACACAGCAGCCACTACACACAAACAAACAAACCACGTTTTTACTAGCCAGTGGTTCTGTTTTGATGCTAAATGAAAGCCTCCTCTGTTGTGTGACAGGGCCACACTGCACAAAGACACAAATGTCCGCTCGTTTCTGGAATATAATTTTAAATCCTGCTCTTTTAGCAGTCAGCCTCAGCCTCTGTACTCACCTAGATTATAAGCAGAGGAAATATGATTCACTTTCAGAGGACCACTTTTTTACACTGCTCTTAACACTCTTTAATTTTATCCTAATTCCAATTAGGGAAACTCCTCCGATGTAACTATATGTGCAGCCACTGTCAAATTACCACTGTTCTAATTACCAGCTTCCTACTGTTAAAATACCCTACCAGGGTTTCTACTGAACACACACAACAGTGCAGGCACTAATTATTAGAAAAATAATTAAATAATACAATAAACAGTTTAATTTGACCACAATGTTATTAAAAGGTGCTTTTTGACTCTGTGAGTTTCAGGGTCTTTTTTTTTTCATTAAATGCTGTGATCTGGTCTGCCTTTCAACTATGAATAAAACACAGCTTGTTTCACAGCTTGTTTAGATTCAGAGGGATGGCAAAAGCAGTGGCCCTCTCTGGATCCTCACCTGCTTTATCTAAGTACTTTTTGTATGTTTTGCTCCACTTGAGGTATTTTATATAATCACATCAGCCACTTCATTAGTACAGTTTGTCAGTATAAGGAAATAAACCTTTGCTGCCTTCAGAATGAGCCTAGAACATCGTAGTAAACCACCAGAGTTTGAGAAGTACTCGTTCTCTGGAGGCACCAACAACTGTTCTGCACCGCTGTGTTGCTCAGTTTAATCTTTGGTGGTTGTGCCCATGTGTAACGTTGACTTCGTCTAATGTGCTTGAATCCACAATCAGCTGAGATGGTTTGCAACAAGCGTTTGTCAAATGTCTTTTTTGTTCAATCAAATGGTCGCTACATATAAAAACAGCTGGGATTATCTAGCTGTTAATCTGACTTGTGTGGCCACAGTGGAAGATGCTGTGTGGTGTTTACTTGTTTGTTCACCTAAATGTTTACACACAGTTTGTTTATGTGCTGTTTACTACTGCATCCTTCCATTCTATTCAACTTATATTGTACTGCGTCTAATGCACAACTCTGTTGCTCTATTGTTATTTATTATGTGCATTCTCGAACAGTTTAGTTGTGTGATTCAAATAATAGTTCCATTCTATTCTGTTCTCTCAGTTTGACCATCATTGTCATGTGCATGTGTAGGAGAAATGGTTGAGAATGATGTTCACCACACACTCTAACCAGACAACCAAGCAGTACTATTTAAAACTTCTACCTGTATAAATATATTTTGCCTCAGAGCAAATAACTTTTTAGTATCATTTCAGACCTTTTACAAACAAATCCTTGGAGCCAAACTGAGTTCTTGACACTTCAACCTTGCACTCATTTAACATGCCTTCCCTTGATCGTCTTTTACTCTACTACAAACAATTCTACAATGATATCTCTGGGAAAAAACACTTAAATTCCTATATTACGTGTGCCATGTGACTTTGCTGCGGGCAAATACGTATGTTTCAGAAAAAGGAATAGCAGTTGGGTTTTTTCCCTGCCTTTCATCTGCAGAATTATATGCCATCCCACTGTTAAAAAAGTCATATTTTGGCTTGGGGCGAGGTTTCATTACCTGAAAGGTCATTTGGTTTGACATCAAAAATTATTTAAGTCTTTTAACCAAGGGGTTAATTTGTCACAAGCTTTTATAAAGGTTACTGTCTGAACAGGATGGCTGTTTTTCCAGAGCATGTGTTTCTCTGCAGAGCATAAATTATATAGTCATTCATAATAGGAGAGCTGGGTTTATGTAACTTTAAGAGGAGCATTACAACAGAAGTGAAACAGGATAGAGCTCCACGTCTGTGTTATAAATATTTAAAGTATGTAGATGAAGATAGTCAATGGGAAAAATAGATACACAGAGAATGACCAAACACACACACACTATATATATATATTTAAACATATATATATATAGTTTCTAATGATAATTTTGATCCAACATCCATTTTTCTAATTTATATGAAAAAGAAAACTTAGAAAACTTTCTCTTTCATTGATGTCTGAGATTAATAGAATTTCTCCTTTCTGTTTTCTAAATTTTATTTTTCTGTTTTTCAGTGTTATTGGTCCTAACTAAGCGTTTGATGGTTGAACTGGAAGACCCACAAGAACGTCAAAGATAAGGTTCTTACATTTTTATCCAAATCGTTAGTTTTCTATCTTCTTTTAGCCCTTTTTTTTTCATTTACCTCATCTATTTGTTGTTGTTGTATTTGTTGGTGCAAAATATTTTATGTGTATCCAGCCACATTGTTGTTACATAGACTAATATATTGTGTCTAATCATTTTTTTTTCTGTGACTTAGCCCTTTAGTGCTTTGTTAATAAACAAATTGTTCCTATATTAGGATTTTGTAAGTGATAAATGTAAGTATAAAATATGACGGAATCTGTAAATACAAAACTTGTCTAGCCTAGTTATACACCACACCTGCAGGGGGCGCTCTACCTGCGCGCTCCGGGTTAGACGAGATGTCAAAGTCGAAGCACAGAGCACTGCCTCTCTCCGTCACTTGAAACGGGAAGAAACCCTCAAACAGGTCGACGCCGGCCTCCACGCAGTCCAGCACCTCGTCAGGTCGTCCGACTCCCTGCAGCAGCCTGAGACAAACACAAACACGGCATTAACTAACTTCAAACCTCATTAACATTGATACGTTAACAAAATAAACGGCACCACTTTTTTTATCTCCTCTATTAAGGAGTCATGAGGAGGTTTGTGCTTTCCCTGGTCCAGGGGATTTGAGTTCAACTGCCTTCATCATAGTCCTTGCCTGCAGGCCACAAGGTCAAGCTCAATTTGGCTTTGGATAATGGCTCCACTCTTTTCTCCTGCAGCGGTTTGTCCTAACAACATGAATAACCAGCACGGCTGGAGTCCCGCTGTTTTCTTTTTTAATAGGAGTTAGTTTATTACTAAAAAGTCCATTGTTACTTTCCTTTGCTTGAAAGATAAGGATGTCTTGAGTCATTTTGAATTGTGTTTAACATAACTTATTTTTTTCAAATTTGTCTTTTTTACCTCTTGTTAAAGCTGTGCAGAGTAGTCAAAAGAACAAAGAGCTAAGTGACACAGCATCCTTTGTGGTTCAGCTGAAGTAAAGGCTGCTAACAAACAGCGGGCGATTGAAAAAAAACAGCAGAGCTGCTTTGTTTTCACTTGTAATCAGTCAAGCAGAATAATTAATTGATGAAGAAAGAGTCACCGGCTGCGCTCACTCACTGACTCCCCCAGAAACACTGTTTTTACAAAGCCATGCTCACAATCAATGCTTTTGTGACCAACGGTGGAAGAAGACACCCTGACATCACTGTATAGATTTTTTTTAACCTCTTTTGCAAAATACGTGGCTGTGCATAATAGGCTGACATACTACAGTGGGGACACCAAGCAGGAAAAAAAAGTTTTTTTTTTATTTTTATGTTTTTTACATATTGGCATTTGATATGTATGTTTTTTAAGCTTCTGTTGTACATGTTTGAGAGGGATTAAAATGCACGCTTATATTAACCAATGAAAGAAAATGTTTGATAAAGAACAGCCTGTTTGTACGCTCACTAATTACTCCTACAGAGTACTAAGGCACCTATTTCTCTTTCACACAACGTAAGTGTGTAAGATAGCTGGATGAAAAACAAATCAACGCAAACTTTACTGTAGTTTAAACTCAGCTTCCTTCCCAATTTACCTTAAAGAACCCAATAAATACATCGTTATGAACTCACTTTATAGTAACTGTTCGTCAGTCTTTATGAAGGATAAACAAAGCAGCTCTTCAAACATTGTCTGCTTAATTAGATTAATTAAATTTCAGTCAGTCTCAGAGCCATTATTTCCCTTGTGCATTCAGAGTGGTTTCCTCCTGACACACACACTCACACACATACACGCAATGAACAAGGACTGAAATAAGAAAAAAAAATCTGGTGTTTTTTTTACTTGCCCTGTGAACTTTTCTCTAAGGCCTCATTAGAAATGGCCTAAATGTAAATGGGTGCAGACCAGAAATTCTTCTTAGAAGAAGTAATGTGGGAAAAGCCTTTGTTTAGTTCAACAAAAGTGTTTGCTAAAAATGTGTCAAACTGATCTCATATGGGGAATTTATTTTACTTTTTAAGGGTGGAGAAAACAATCTTAGCAAATGTATCGCCTACAGCAAATAAATTCACTCAATTTGATATTTTGTTTCATCTCCGTCTTAGTGCATGTTTGTGTTTTTGTCCTCAGTGTTCTGTAAAGCTTTTGTTTTTGTATCACAGGGATCACAAATGGAATTTTTGATTGATCCAGTGGTTGAGGACAGCTGTAAAAGACAAAGACTCTTTTCAATTCTCAGTAGCGGTGGTGGAGGCTCTGTCAAAGTCAACCAGCTGTGTTAGGGACACAAGCTGGAATAGTCAATACAGTTTAAGAAACAATTTCATGGCAGTTTATCTTTCAGCCCAATATTTTTAAATAGGGTTTAAATACAAGTGTAGCAAACAAATACGTATTTTTAAGGTCACATGAACAAAGACAACAAAAATAAACAAAAAAAAAAAACAATTCAAGAGATTCTTTTTAAAAATGCCAAATAGCAACATAAATGTTCATACTGTCTTTTTATAGCAGGAGAATATTTATTGATTATAAGTAGAGGAAGTAGGAGAATTTCTATGCATGTCTGAAGGGTTTACAGTGTAATAATTGTCATTTTGTCTTGTTTTCACTGGAAAACAAAACCTCTTGTCCATGACAACATTTGTAAACTGCTGTACCTCTTGTATGTTAATGGACTGTACTAACCTGGGTTTGTCTTCTGGCAGCACTCTAGACACAGCAGCAATCAGCTGGGTCCTCAGAGACTGATCCATGGAGTCTGACTGGAAGCCGTCCAGACAGAATCCTGCCACGGGCCTCTTGGCTGTCTCCCTGGCCGAACGCTCCCTCTCTTCCAGGATGTCTCCTCCCTGCACCACGCCAAACACCTCGGCTCCCTCCAGTTCCTGTCAATGACAGGCAGGTCAGTGATTAAACACAGAGAGAAGGAGATTCTGTTAGATAGCAGGGACGACTGGGAGCAAAGACTGAGGCACAGAAGATTGCTGCTGAAGTCTAACACAGATGTTTAACAGATTACAGTTCCATTTACCAACCAAACACAGTGACTGACAAGGTTGGCAAGGACAGAGTCAGACATGGCTTTATTCCTGGCACATTTGCATTTCAGTAACAAGTGCTGTTGACTGAATTCAGAGGCCAAACTCAGGCAAAACACTGAGAGGAAAACAGAATATGTAACGTCCTTACAGTTCTAACCTTTCATGATTCAATTTTTTTTTTTATATACATACCATAGAGTATACTGTATTGAAAAATGTCAAACTGAGAAAAAGTAGTTGCTTTCAGGACTTCCTGATTCATGGCCCACAAAAACATTTGCTTGAAGGTCACAAAAACACACATTTTATCTCTTATCTATATTTAAAAAATATTCCATTGTTGAGTTCTTTCTATTAAATGCTATATGGGTGTTTCTTTTGTTGATAAAGTATTATATCGTGATCCCTGCATTATATTTTTAAAATTAGAAGTTAATTAAAATTCAAAGACCTCTAATTATGAAAAAAGACCTGAAGCAATGGTAAAGAAGGGTCTGTGCTATGGAGTTTCATTAAAATTCTTGTCTTGTTAAATCACGACATATTACTTTTTCTATTAAGTTTTTCAGATTCTTACAATACTGGCAGCTCTTACTTTTCTGAGAACCTGACTTGGACTTAAATGGAACTTGTGGTCTGTGGTTCTCGCTCTGACTTAAATCACTGAGGACCAAGCATAGACTGTTATCACACTTTTATTTGACGACTTAGGCTCAGATTCAAACATTGATACAAGAATACGGAACATTGATCTGATGTTCAGTGTAGGGAGTGTACCTGAGACTTCTGGTGTAGCAGTAGACACTCGTCCAAATGTGCCAGAGTCCGGTCCACAGACTTTCGAACCCTTTTGCGAGAAGTGTTGTTCTGCCAGGTCTCTCCGTCTGCCATAGTCTGGTACCAGTCTGGCTGCACTGTCTTCTGAAGAGCCATGAACTTATCAACGGTTAGCTCGATCCGCCCACTGCTGCCCCACACTGACACAGTCTGACAACAACAGAGACGAGACATTTTCACATGAAAACATTTGTTGTTGTTAACTGCTCTTTTTCCCAACTATTTAAGAGTTTGCTGCAGGTGACACTTTCTAAATCGGTTTTGAAATTGTTGTCCTTTTGCCTGTAAGAATAATGATTCAAGTACTTTTCCATATCAGATATTTGCATTTTTATTAGCATGTGCTTTTTGGTAGTTTACAATCAGCAAAAGAAAAACACAGAAATCCGATCTCACCTTGTTGGTGTTGAAACCTGTAGGACAGGGGGCTGCAGGGTCGTAAAGTGAACAATACAATACTGTGTCATGCAGACCTGCAAAATACAAAACACTCCAAAAAGTTAAAAAACAAAAAGTATACAATCTGAAGGGGAAAAAAATCTCGTCAGCAAAGAAAGTGCAAAGAGCAGGGTGATGGCACGAGATGTTCCCTTACTACATAATAATGTACCATTACTGGACAGAAAAGAGAGGTGTGATCAAAAGGTAAGACAACATCAGCCTTAAAAGCAGTTATTATTTAAAATTGAGCAATCCCCACTCTTTCTTTTTGAGACTTCAGAGAAAGCCTGTAATATTCCCTTGACAGCCAACAACAAGTGATTACATTTCTAATTAAACTTTTGTTTGCCTCAGGTGTGGTAAAGCTTAGTGCCACCACAAGTGATGTACAACAAAGCCAAATGAGGCCACTCATCCAGAGCATTCATGTAAATGCGACTCAGAAGAGGATGAGTCTTTTAGTTTTGAGTGTACACACCTAATCAGCTTTTCAGCGTTGAACTGAGAGCAATGCATATTTAACAGCGTTGCAATTTGTTCCACTTTCTTCACTTTTTACCCATCAAAGCAAAATGTTCAAACCGTGCCTTGTGCATGCACAACATTTTTGAGGTTCCCTTTTAAAATGGTTATTAATTATGAATGGCTGAAGCTGAAGGTTAAATGACACAATGGGGCTGAAGAATATAAAGCCCAATGTTTTTACTGCTTCACAGCCTACTGATATTTGCCTTCAAAAGGACAAAGACATGTTCAAATTAAATTTCACCTGAGGTTTTGAAAAAGTGAAGGATTAATGTGTTTTAATTGATCACCAAATGAAATCCCTACAAAGCACAGTGTAAGCCTGAACAAAGAACATTCCAGCTCTAATGGTTTGCAGCAGAAACCCATCGATCAATACATTAGGACAAATCTCAAAAATCCTTCTACAGCTCTTTTCTTTGACAGCCTCGGAACTGCCATGGTAATACGATGCTCTCAAACAACCTTAAGAAATTGAATTAATGCTACAGTTTCCCACAATGCAAATTTGTTGACAGGCCTAATTTAAATATGGTGTGTGTGTGCGTGTTTCCAAACTCTTGCTGCAGATTAGTTCTGGAATTTGTCCAAACTACACAAAAACAAGCAAATATATTCAGAAGTTTCAGAAATAATTATTTCTTTTTTTAAACTTTACCCTAGTCCTATGGAGTTTACATGTCAAGGGGCAGTGCAATATAAATAACAATTCTGTTATAGAACAGGTAAAATTCAGTTTAAAGGTGTATTTAGAAAAGTTGTCATTATTTCTAGGTATGCTTCAGTGACAATATGTATAAAAAATAAGATTGAACTTCAGTACCTGCAAACTTTGTGAATCCTTGCTTAAAATCCTCCAACACCTCTTGCTGCTCTGCTCTAAATGAGAGAAGCAAAGGAAATGCAAATTAGACTTCTCAAGAACTTGAGTTTTTGTGTGTATGTGTGTGATCTGTGAAAAGTTAAAATTATTAAAGTTACATATGTAAGCTTTTCTTTTCATATTGTATGTTTAGAACCAATATATATATTATATATTATATGTTATATATATATTTGGCAAACGTGTATGCCAAATCTAACACAAAATTCCTGAATAGTCTTCCTTTAATGTCTGGTTTAAAACTCAGTTTAGGGTTAAAGCTGTTACTAGCCAGACTGGCCCAGTAAATGGACTTTAATTATGCAAAAACTATTGCAAACGCGAATGCGTATAACCGTGTACTTACATATGATTCAGGGTGACCTGAGTGACAGAGGGGATGTTTCTCAGTGTTTGCAGTGTGTCCTGTGTAAGATGCGGGACTGTGCCCAAGTGCGTGTAGAGCAGGCAGCCAGGGATTTCCAGTGAGTGCTGTGACGTTCTACCCAGTCCTGTCAGGACACCCAGCCGACTTCTTCCCTGAACTACACGGGACAATTCCAATTTCATTCTGTTGCTTGCCATACCAGACAATACACCGAAAAAATCCTCTGTCTTGTAAAACTGGAGCAACAGCGCTAACGCCGGTTACAACTAGAGGCTCTGAAATACCACGTGAAATAGCCACGCTGCTAACTAGCCTTCCGCTTAAACCGTATGACTTAATTACAATTAAGAAGTTAGTTATTTAAAAATTGACACTGACAACAACTTCGTCGTAAGAACGGCATTCATTTATAGCCAATGTAAATGTAAATAAAGATATATTCCATTGAAGTGACGTCAATTGCAAAAAGAAAAACACAAGTCGCTGAGACGTGACGTCATTGGCGCTTTTTAGTGACTCGTAAACCTTTCCAAAATACATTTAAATATTTTTTATTTTAATACATTTTTAATAGTAACGTATTTATACAAATACATTATTCCTAGGTGAAAGACTTTTACTCACAATAAGTCGTCTAATATAATTCTAGCAAAACTATGTGAATGGTGGTATAAGGAAAACTATCTTATAGACAATACCGTAACCGACTAAAACAACAAAAAGCTCAAAAGAAATTCTGTTGTTAATATTACTTAATTTTACGTTGATTTTATTTTATTGTTGTTTAATGTATTTAAATTGTTGCTTTATTAAATGTATATTAGGAAATACTAGACATCACAAACTATCCTTACAGACATTTTAAAGTTTTAAACGTTATATTTTAACACGCTACAATACACCTTTATTTCATTTAACCTTAGTTGCTATAGTTACTAAAGAAGAGCAAAGCCTCATGGGTTACGTAGTCTTAAAAATTCTTTCTTGGCAACAATAGACAAAGATAAGCCATTTATGAACTATATTACCCATAACCCCATGCGACCCAAAGTAAACACTTGCAGCGGTTATTCGTGCGGATTCTGTGCTTTGATGTGACTTAGGCGTGTGAATGGGGCATTTTAAAACATGTTACTCTTCAGTTTCCGTATGAAGTCTGTGATGAGTATCGTGGATGCCAAAGGAAAGTTATTTTATAATTTCGTTCAACAAACAGAAACATGTATTTTTGTATTTTTTCTTCTTGTATCTATCTTGTAATTTAAACGACACAAGGAATATAAGTACAAAAAAAGAAGCGCGAGGTCACAATGCCACTGCATTGATGTTGACGGCAGCTTAACAAAAAACGGTAACTTGTATTTTCGGAATTTAAACTTTCGATAATATAGTGTAGGTGACAGACAGGTTAGCCAGGCGATGACGTCACCAAGTCGTATTCCCCATGTGTTTAAATGGCGAAGTCTCAACAGGAACGGAGAAAAAGTAAGTTTGTTCTTAAAAACATGTTTATTTGTAATATGAACTATATTACAATTTACATTGGCTATAAATGAATGCCGTTCTTACGTGTTTAAAACAAAGTCATTTTAGTTAATGTTAGTAAAGTCACTCACCAAGAGCCAAATAGCTATGCTTTCAATAATATTGTGAGGTGTAGTGAAAAATTGTCATTGTAACAAACCACATTATCACAACAAATGTGACCTCTGCCCATGGAGCTGTGTTTGGGTACAGTTCCTAATCCAGTGCACCTCAGTGGTGGCTGGTGAATTCAAACCCGCAGCCTTCTGGACACAAGTCTGCATCCTTAAGTCATTTATTTGGCAACAGTAACATGTCCTGGATTTGTGAAGCAAATACCTGTGGACTCTTGGCTTGTTGTGTAAATATCAAGGATGATCATTGTTTGGTTTCAACAATCCTATAGCCTCAGAGGGTGATTGCTGGACCGCTACACCTTCTTTACAGACGCCTGGGAAATGATTTGAAAAATAATCTGCTGGTTGAAGGCAGGGGTTAAGCTTTCCTGGAAAATAATCCACAGACTTCGGGAATGTGCTCAGCAGCTCAATTTTCACACTATTCCCATCGTTCATTGTTCATTTCCAAACCAAACCATGTGAATGTTATTCCATTGTTTACTAACTGTTTCAACACAACACTCAATTTTTTTTAATAACAGGTCCAGACAGAGATCAGTGATATTGATCAATGGAGAAAGGTAAGGAGAACATGTGCTGGTTTTATGTAAGAAAAGAAACTGTTTCCATTCATTTTCTATCATTTTCTAAAATAGGAAATGTGCTGTTTGCTTCCACTCTTCGCACTTTCTATTTAACACAACAGACACCTAGAATTAGGTGATAATGAATATTTAAATATATTCCATTGAAAAAAAGTGTGGATAGATAGATATACTTAATTGATCTCGAGGTGGCAAATTACAAAAACAAATCAGTAATCGGTTTTCAGACAATTGGGAGGTTGTAAAGTGTGAACAAACTAATTTTCTGATAATGGGTGCCATTATCTTGCAGTTTCATCTGAGACATATGTTTGCAGTATATATACTTTAAGATTTACAACTGTGAGCATGGGAACATAGGATGTGAAAATGGTTTGGTTTGTAGTTGGATGATGGATGTTTTTCTTCCCGTTGCCCTCAGAAAACCTTTCTCCATTGCTTATGATCATTACAGTGCCCACAGGAATGACAAGAAGCTAATTTTAAAATGGGGTGGATGACTGGTTGTATGATTGAAGATGCTAATAATTGGGGAAACTGTTGTGGGTGAACAATCACTGTAATCTCGGACATTCAACCAAACCGATTTTTGTTTTAATCACGCTGGATTTCAGCTCATTTCTCAGCTTCTGTTTTATTCTAGAGAAGATGTTTCTTTTGACATCAATCTCTGTGTTTGTAGATGATTTATATGTGTGTGTTTATTCATATAGGTTTTGAATCCACATGAATTGTTTAAATGATGTACATGTTTTTCTTTTACTGATATCTAAAATGGCCACACAATGAAAGACTGGTTACAGATTATACAGAGTATAGTTAATCCCTGTTAGTAACTGATGTTTTTTTGCATGCGTTCCCTCCCACAGTCCAAAAACATGTAGCACAGATAAATTATACAATTGTGCTTATATATATATATATATATATTGTAAATGATAGGATTATGACTATTGCCTACAGATATTGCCTACAGCCTACAGATATTGACTACTCATACTAAGACTACAATACTATAAGCTTAATGAATAGGTGTATATTTATATATATTGTAATGTTTATTGTATATTGTAATATTTTAAAACCTTGAACGTTTGTTTCTGCATCTTCTTTCCATTTAGCGAGTAGAGCAGGCTTCTGAATTTGCCGTATCTGAGGTTTTGTACCCAAAGAAACATTATTCAGGAAGCAGCGCTCGAAATGTGCCTCTGCAACACAGCGAACAGTTACGAGATCATGATGAAGCCTACAAGGAAGGTGGGTCATCCAAACAGCCACGACAATTTTGACACAGTGATGCCTGTATGGAGTGTCCACCATATATACCACTGAGTAGCTGAACATTGACATTTAGCTGTTGTGTCTTGTAGCCCAGGCTCTGGTTGGTGATTGGCTGAGCAGTAACTTACAGATGGAGGCTGAGATGGATGAGGTAGATGACATTATGAGCTCTGTTCGGAGGAAAAGACCCGCACTGAATTTCTCTCACCTCACTGCACCAAGCTATGACAACTTTGAGGGTATGTAAAAAGAACTTTGATATCCACACAGCTTTATCATTGTAATCCATCAAGGCTCATTTGTGTGAATAATAATGGAGAAGATGGAGAATATATTAGGTGACATACCAGTAAATTATTATAGAAATAAGTCAAATAGAAGGGACTTTTCTTGGCTTACCGTCAGTATTCCAACCTGAAGGTCAAAGCTCTGTCTAATTCAAACCCAGATAATTTCAATATTGAGCTTTTTGGATGACCCATACCCTCTCAGTTCACTCAATATATCTATTCTTATGAGCAATTCCTTCCAGCGGCACTCTGTATATGGTCTATTTATCAGAAAGCCATTCTGGCATGTGTTTGCTTATTCATTATTCTCTCTGGCTAACGTTATGGCAACAGCCACCAAAATGATGATTTTCACAAATTATTAAGAGTTTGAGATCAAAGTAGGAAATTTGTATGGTTTATATAATATTACAGTTGGACCATATTTTGTATCTTCTCCTAAGTGCTTTAATCCTTTTTTTAAAATTAATTTCCTTTCCCTTCCGGACACCTGATGAGTTTGAATTTTTTGTCATTAGAGGGTAAAAAGAGGTTGACTGATCTCACCAGGCGTTTTATCACTTTAATTTGATCTGGTTGGTGTCTTTTTAGAATTAAATTCAACGTTTTTCCTCCCAGTGTTTGATCATCTTGGGGTGCACTGAATGAATAACCTGTTTTACTTGTAGTCAATACATTATTCATGCAAATCATCTTCAAGGCTGAGGTATTAGTTAAACTACGCAAATTAAGCAAACATTAATCAATGCTAATAATGAATTAAATGGTCCTTTTAGTTAAAGATGATCAATTTACATCTAACTAAAAATGTAAATTTAACTTTTGATTCCTCCTATTGAATACCTTTCTCCTGACTTCACCAATCAGATCTCTACAACTGCCTGGCTGAGGAGGACATGCACATCACTGTTAACAATGTCCTACAAGACCTGATGGAGCAAGATCTGCTGGACACTGGGATGATGGAGGAACTGGCACTGGATGTGGGAAAAACAAAGAAGAAAATTAGAGACCCTCTAATCACCATGGAGGCAAGACACCAGCTGGTACGTGAGTCTCACTTCTTTCCAACCACATCAGAGATGTGGAGGCTGTGAGTCGGAATGCTGTCACCATAAGCCTCACTGAGTAAATCAAGCGGAACAAAGGGCACCAAAGTTATGTTCTTATTTCCACTAATTACTCCTGATTGCCACTAAAGGTGCGAGAGAACAGGGCCCAGCGCGACACTGAGAGACAGAAGCAGCAGAGAGAGAGGGAGGCCCTGCGGGCTGCCAGAGAGGAGGTAAAGCGGAGGGAGCTAGAGGAGGAGAAGAGGAGGAATCAGGACGCACACAGAGAGGAGGAGATGGTACAGCAAGAGATGGTGAGACTGCGGCGCCAGATGGAGGAGCAGAAACGCTTGAAACAGCTGGTTAGACAGAGGTACGGACTTATGTTCTTTGCTGAAGTGGCTACATCAACAATCCTTCTTCCTCTCCCTCCACTTTCATACCTAAAATTATCCTCAGGACTTCTGCCTGATTGCTGAACCTTCCTGTAGTGGAAGGGAAGGATTAATGGTAAGTTGTTGACAAGTGCACCTGTGATGAGACAGCCAAGTGTTGTGGAAGAGTCCCTGTAGATTGCAACACCAGTCCTTGAACAGGCGCTGCTGCTATTTTAGCCGTTTTCACCGCAAATGTTTGTCGTGCCAATCATTCAGTGTCACAACTGTAAAAACATCTCATCATAAAAAAGAAAATCTTCCCTTTTACCTTTAAGGAATAAAGATTAACTTCTTAAATGCCAAGATTGGCCTTTTTGAGATACTGAATAATAATTACAAAGAAAAATACAGAAATGTAAAAAATATACATACCATAGTTATAGAGTTATAGAAGGTCTGTGGACCAGCATGGCCTTTATATTCCAACAAAGTTTTGAATATTGATAATGACACTCAACATCCAACTCTCGTCACGCGTTGCCATTGGGAGCCTAAGTCCAAGTTCCAAAACCAGGGGGAATTGTTGCATAATAGAGGGCATCCAGTGTGAAATATCTAGACTCATTAATATGTGTGATTCATCTTTGGGTCCCAGTGGATTGAGGTTTTGTTTGTTTGTTTGTTCTACAGGGAAAGGCAGAGAACAGGACAGAGGTCAGAAGGTGACCTCCAGTCCACTCCAACACCCACACCCTCACCTCAGCAGCAGCAGGTCACAAAGCGACAGCACAGAAAACAGAAAATTCAAAGCATCGTTCAAATGAACAACCTTAAGGTTGGGACCATCGCTGCATATGCGTGGGTGTAATTACAGTTAACTACAGTAACTTCTCTGCACACTTACTCTCTTACACGTGACTGCCTTTGTGTATGTTTTAAGTGTTTACACAGGCATTTCTCTGGATGGTATTCAGTAGTGTTGGACCAAAGGCTTCGTATGGGAAAGGCCACGGCCCTCTCTAACTGGAAGAGGCAGCTGAGAGCATGGCGAGTGTGGCGATTACATGTGTGGGCAGAACAAAAACACAAAGAAGTGCTGAGAATAAAGGAGGAGCTTCAAACTGAGTGCAGGCAAGAACCGAAGGAAGGACAATCTCCCTGATTTACTCTGTTTGGCCTCTGTAGACATGAAGTGTTTATTCGACTGCTGCGTGTTTATGTCTTCCATCTTTCCACCCATTCCTCCGTCACCCATCCACCTGTCCTACTCTTGGTTCACCTCTCTAACTCTCTGTGTATTTAGCAGATAGTGCTTTTAAACAAGATGAGATTAAACCTGAAAATACCTTGTCTTAATTATTAGCTATCCAGTAAACTGACCTTGAGTGTGTTTCACCAGTAATTTTTTTAAGACAAGGTCAACCTTCAGATTTACTTGAGATATAATATATCCTTCTTTAAAGCTCTACAACTGGGAAAAATGTAAAAATATTATTTATGATTGTAATGCAAAGTTGAGCAGAATGAGTTCTACCGTAAAACCAGATTTTTTTTGTCTCATGTAACAGGTTTTTGGCAAAAGCGAGAGATTTTAGTCTAGACTTGAGGAAAAAAAGGAATGGTGATGCTCAAAGAACAGGAGAAGAATATACAAGTTTAATCAAAATGTTTACAATGATTTACAATAATCTATTTCTCATTTCCATATATATTTATTTGCATTCATTCATTCATTTAATTGTGAATCTTTCTGACTATTGAACATCTGTTTTCATCAACTTGAATCAGTCAATATAACCACAGCAATTGCCTTCTGCAGACAAAGCCAGCTGGCGGTGGACAGCAACCGCAGACGTCTGCTGCGACTGTGTTTCAATGAGTGGCACAGATGCTGTTGGACAGAGAAGAGACGACGAGAGCTTTTTTCCAAGCAGCAGGAAATCCGTCGTAAGATGGCTGCTTTAATTCTCGCCGTATCAACAGGCAAACTGAAGGCCACGGAAGACCAGGCTTATCAGCCAACGATGTCTTCCTCACCCCAAACATCAGATGAACCAGAGACCACTGAGGAGGTGAGAAATGTACCTGTAGATCATCATATATCCTATTTTAAAAGTGAGATGAGTCTGATACACCAATAGAATCATGACTAAAACATTAGGGTCCGTTCTGGGCAGGAGAAACTGAAGGACAATTCACTGAGGTAATTTAAGAAAGGAGATTTGACTGAATAAAAAAACTTTTCTTGTTGCATCAGCAAGGGAGAAAAAACTTCACCAATGAAATATTCACAAGCCCAAAAGTGAGGGGTTAGAAAAATCACTTGTGTAAATGTATAGTACAGAAAGGCAGGTAGCTAAAGATAGAAAAAAGTCTAACAGAGCCAGAGATCATGGTACCGCGGGGCGAAAAGACGTAATTCCCTAATTTACATGGATTTATAAATCAGATTGCCCTGAGTCTGTGTAATCCCTGAAGCCCTCACACTGTATTCCAAATTACATCTCACAGCCTGTTCTTGTTCCTTTTCCTAATCAGTCAATGTGGGAAGAGATTTTCTTTTCCTCAACATTTGCACGCATACAGAAAAAAAAGTTTTTATCAGGAATTTGTCAAGAATTTAATATATGGATTAATCAGAATAATCAAAATGGCCAGTTATAAAGTTAGTTGCCCAACCCTGGACAAGCCAATTTGCAAATATTTCGTTTTGTGAGCTTTTGATCCCACCTGTCCAAAAAGACAGAAAATATAATTTTGATCCCACCTGTCCAAAAAGACAGGTATAGAAAATTTAAAATATATGCACTATGTATACGTTTCTGTGGGTTTTTTTGCCATAGGACAGTAACAAAAGGTCAGGATCTTTGACTCCTGACGCCTCCGCAGTGCATCTGGATCAGACCCCTGCAGACGCTGTGGACCCACAGCCCACAGAGCCGTGGCAGGTGACCCGGAAGCAGGCAGCACCGACTCCTGCTGAGCTGAATGATGTGAGGCAGAAATTCAAGGGCAACTGTTCCAAAACTGCTGCTTCAAAGGGTAGCAGGTTTGAGAACAGACACGCTGCCCAGCAGCAGATCATCTCGCAGCAGAAGAAGCTGCTGAAGGAGCAGCAGGAGGAGATCATTCGGCTGAAGGAGGAGCAGAGCGTGATGAAAAATGTGCAAGTCCTGCAACAAGGAGGCTTAAAAGCAAGGAGCCACAACCCTGATAGCAAAGGGCAGAGGTATTGATTACTGTGCTAACATCCCATACTTAATTCACAGTCTCACAGATTAACACACAGAATCAAATGTTTCAGCAAATAACTTTATATCCATTAAAAAAATTGATGTGTTTCAGATGACGAAATAATTTTTTAAAAATGATTAAAAATAAACCCAAAACAGTTAAAACAGTGAGCAGCTACTATAAGTAACGATAGAAAGGTAACTGAACATTTGACATTTCCTCCCAAGTAATTACTGCCTGATTTATCTTGGGAAACAGAGTATGTTACAATTACCAACATTCCTGTTGAGTGAACATTTGACCCAAAGGAGAATAAATTGCAATGAAACAGTAGGTAAATAAAGGTTTTGAACATTTTTTTAAAATTATTATTATTTTTTAAATTATGGTCTCTTTATTAGTGAATTTGCAGTCATAATGAGTATTTCTTTCATTTAAAACTTCCATTGAATCCTCCAAAATATTAAAGTGATTCCTTTAAAAACAAACATGAACACAAACAAGTGTTTGTAGGAACAGGGGAACGGCAGCAATTAAGAAGTCCTGTATTCATCCCACAATGGTGGGGTTCTCAATTGACTGAATTATTGATTGAACAAATAGCTTGGTAACAGAAAATCCCCAAATGATGTAATGAAATCTTTGCATGCGTATAGGTGACTGTGTAGAGTGTAAAGACTGGCCTTCAGCTAAGAACCTTGTTGACACTGAATTTAAATTTACACTTCAGACTCTCCAACTCCACACACACCATTTGAGCTATTGGCTTGAAAACTCTTTCCAGAAGATGAATGGTCTTCATGGTGGTTCTCTGCAGTGGGGACAGAGAGCAAAAACCAGATAGCAAGAATAGATACTGACTGTATTAAAGACAAATCCCATCATAGCGGGTACAAAGAAACTAATTATTACCAGAACAGAAGAACAGCATTGACTCTGAAAGGTTGTGTGAAGTCAGTGTTCTCATTCTGCTCAGCCTTACAGAGAGATTTGAAATGTTTCCAGAGTAAGAAAAAAAAAGCACTCAGTTCAGACGCCTTCACTGATTTAACAGCAGTTTGACACACGTCATCTTAAGTGCTCATAGAATTTTCCCGGCACGGATAAGGTTGTATTGAATCCATTTGTGACATGTCGTTCTTTCATGGCCTCTGACTGTGCTGGCATCTGTTGCAGGACGCTGAAAGATTCTGAAAAGCCTGATATTCCATGGTCACAAGAGAGAAAATGTGTCAGACCCCAGGGCAGCCCTCATCCCATCATTTCAGGTCAGTCTGTGTCTGACTGAGCGCTCCATGACATCTGATCTCCACTGACAGGGTACAGTGTCGGGCATAATTCACAACTACAGTCTGTAGAATTAGTTCTTCAGTCTTTGTGTGTTTGTGTGTGTTTGCTCTGTAATTTTCAATCTCCAGAATGTGTTAATATAAAACATCCTTTAAACAACATATCCAGAGGCAACCGAAAAATAGAAGTTTTACATTACGTTCTATGGGAAACCAATTTTACCTGGAACCAAAGCAACTTTTTTATATAATAATTTATCTGTGGGTCAAAATAACTTGTTGTGGGTAAAACATAGAAATAGTCTCCAAAGACTTGGTATATGGAGGTTTAATAGTGTTTACTTTATCAGTAAACTAACCTTAGTCTCCACATAAATCATGTGGAGACTATTGTAGAAGATATGGATGGAACTCATCTTTATCTGGCTCTTAGGGAAAAATTATTACATTTGGGTTTACGTAAAGAATTTTACAGTGCACTCACCTTTCTGTTTCTCTCAAGCCATGGAGGCCCGTGCACATCAACGCTCCAATCGAAAAAAAGAGATTGAAGAACTTAAGAGGAAGAAGGAACAGGAGAAGTTGGTAAGACGTTGGCAAATTTGTGTTGTGCTGAGAGACTCAATCTTTATTTATTCACTTTTAATGCATGCAGTTGTTTCTGTTCCTGACCAACATTTGGAAGTTGTGTTCAAAAACCGCTAAGCTGCTTTGACAGATTATTGCATGCTGTAATTAGCAAACGCAGACACAGAACCAGGAAAAAAATTAACCAAAGACTCCAACATGTCCAGGCTGAGATGAAAGCTGCAGAGGACCAGAGAGTGAGAGAGGAGTTGGAGGAGAAACGCAAAATGGCGGAAAAGAGGAAAGAGGAGAAAAGGCTGCAACGAGAGGTGAGCGCTGTTACATATTTAATCCATCTGAGCATATTTAAACTCTGAGCAGCCACAGAGGACAGGGATCTCTACTGTTCTGTATAGTAGAGTTTCAATATATGGACTTAATACTGAACTAGCCTTTGGCAAAGTTTTACAGTTTTGCATAGCATTTACAAATTTTGCTTCTCTCACAGCATAACATCATAATTTCTATCTGGGCCTAAAATAGTTTTCCACAATTCTTTTAGGTATTTTAACCATTTTGACTACTTTAATTTTCTCAAATTCACGGTTATTCTCCAAATAACCTTCAGTAAACTGGTGGACCTGGTTTTTGGCAAATATACTACATTGATTTGTGTGCAAAAATACATTTAACTAGTTTCAGTAAACTTCGTCCAGCTCACAGCTCCTTAATTAGTGCCCTAACAACTTAGAATTAAATCTGGAGGCCAGTTGAAGCCAATTCACATCATCAGCCAATATCCCACAGGTATCTTTAGTTTGCCACTTTTTGGACAGCCCTGAGTGACTTATAGGGGTGGTGCAGGAGATAAAAAATGATGTCATGCTCTGTTTGTGAACAGAGGGAAGAGGAAAAGCAGAGGGAGCTGAAAAGGCTGCAGGAGTGCCTGAAGCTCGCCTGCAATCACTACAACAGAACCTTGCTGCTCCGTCGAGGCCTGGCCCCATGGAAACGTCTCATTCAGCTCAGAGAAGCCAACACTGAGGTAAATCACCTGCCATGTGCATTGTATTAGTTCACACAATACACTCTGCCAGCCTTCAGTCCTAAAGAACTTGTCTAAAAGCCAAAGGCTGCTTTATGTCCTTACACTTGAATGGCACATGGCAAGCTCATTCAAATAGATAAAATTGCTTTTTGGGGCTTTTTGCAGCTCACACAAAAAGATTAACACAAGAAAAAAAGTTTTACATCCAGGTGTAGAAGGAGCACAAAAGAGCCCAAAGTGTAATCAATGCTTCAAATGTAAAACCTTGAGTTTGAATGTTCCAACTGCAGTCTGAGACTTTATTTAAAATAGGTTTTTGATGGATATTTTTTAAAAACACTCTTTTTTTTTTTTCAATTGAGTCTGTACTGACTTATTCTCTGCGTGTATAATTGCCATGGCTTTGATTTGCTGTTACACTGCTGTTCTGCTTCACAGAAATATGCTATTTTCCTGACGATGACACACACTTGTGTGTTTTGAATCTCTGAGGTGTTAAACAAAATTCTTATAAAGAACCAAAAGCCACACACTGCGTATCCACAGGCATCCCACTCAGACACGTTTATTAGTCTTATAATTGTGTGCAGTAAGCAAACTGTTGTTGGTAAAAATACTCACTTGGCATCAAAATCAAACTCCATGTGCCAAACTGAGCTACAAAACACACACAAAAACTGTCATGACATGCAGTCTTGGAATTCACGCTCAAATACCAGCCACGCACTCAAACACCGACTCAACACAGAAGTGCACACAACTTTTCCGGCTCAGTTCCCTTGACATTATTGTCATTTCATCTTCCAAATTTCCCTCCTGTTCTTTGTCAAATCCAACATTAGAAAAAGACACGCATGCTTTCACAACAAGATTTGAAGTCCTCTGGAGGCTACAACTCTTCACATCACTCCTTCATTTTCCACCTGGCACATGTGATTGTATTTGGATGCATCCGTCATGACTTTCTTTTCTTCCCCATCCCTGCCAGCTGGCCGAGAGTCATTATAATCGCTTCCTCCTGAAGCAGTGTGCGCTACGCTGGCAGCAATCAGCGAGAGAGTCGCTGTCAGAGAAAGAGGCTGCTGCTGACCAACTGCACCGGCGCTTTGTACTGTGGAGCAGCTTCAGCAGCTGGAAGAGAGTGGGTATACGTTTTGCACCACACAAAATACACACAAGTACCTTGAGCAGGATATTTATTTCCTTCCTTTTATTTGTAACATCTCAAGACAAAACATATGCAAATGAGTTTCCACATCATGTTTGTGTCACCGACTATATTTGGTTTTAACCCCGAGCTTAAGTGGGTTTTCTGCTTCAGCTGGTAGATTTAAGGACAACACAGGAGGAACAGGCCGAGCATTTCTACCGCACACACACTCTGCGGAGGTTTCTGCTGGCACTGCTGGACCATGTGACCCAGGAGCGGCTGGTGCAATGGGACCGCCAGGAGCTGGCTCATGAACACAATAACAGGTCTGTTTCCCACTGACTTGGCCATATGTGCGCTGCAGGGAGGCTGCAGTGTGCTCCACCGCTCACATCACCAAGTAAATAAGGTGTCATATTAAGTTTAACAGTTTGCAAAAGTGCAAAACCAGCCATATCTAATCTGACACCAGCGTTACGGGAGAATAGAGGCTGTTTCTAAAACACCCAGCACTACTGTCTGAGGTCGATTAGGCACAGGAGAAAAAAAGTTTACCAAGGAAGAAGTTATTCTACAGCCTGGTAGGTTTTAGGTCTGACCTTTGTGTGCAAATGTCATCAGCTGTTTCTTTAGTCTGTGACGCTAAAGAAGTTCATCACATAAATAGCACACTCTGCAGAACAATAACAGGGAGTAACATGGTTTATGTTTTTGAGCAGAGGAGAAAATTAACTACACACCTGACTTCTTTAGGAAGTACAAAGTCCTCTAGGACATCGACCACTTATTCATAAGAGACTTGTCAGGACATTTTAAAAACCATGAACACGATTTATCAGCCTGCCCTAATACCAGACACTATGACAATGTGCAGAAGCAGGAACGAGCATTGCTTAAGCATTTATTAGACACTTAACCGATGAAACCTGATGAAATACGAGTGGTGATTCGACACATTTTTTGGCTACATTTACAATTTGATTGTCCTTTTTATGATCAATTCTTGTGCACTAGGTTGAAAAATACACTATCAGGTTCTAACCCCCAGTGAAGTACTCCATATCTGCTGTCAGCTGTATGCGTCTTTTTTATATTAGAATTTATGACACGGGTTTTACCACCCAGAAATGTTGAATATGGATAAATTGTTTGGCGTAGTGGAGCTGTTCTGGACTAAATGGCTTGTGACCTCAGGTAACACAGAATTGGATTTGAAGCAGTAACTCTCCTCCTGGCTATCTCATACTCAATTAATTTTGTAATTTGCTTCTGACAGTTGGAAGAGTGTGTGTGTTTTTTTTCCTGTCAGCCTTTTTGAAGCTGTGCTCATGCATGGAAGTGAATTGTACCAAAAGCAAACTTTAGGGACACGACATCTGCACAGCGACGCAACGCTAATGATGAGCAAGTACAAAAGTTTGCCTTGTTAATATCTGTTTTGAGAGCATGCAATAGATCCTAAATACACAGTACAACACAGGCGGACAAGGATGCTAATAGCTTTGGTTGTGTGGAACATTGCTGTACAGCAGTCTGTGCCGTTTCCCATAATAGCCACAGTTAATGACTACTCCATTCTGAGTAGGGGTGATTGTTTGTGCTCTTCAGCTGTGAGGTGAGGTCAGATGAAGGGGTTCATCCCGCAGGTGAATTTCTAAATGCTGCCCAAATGCCAATGTCAATGAGCCTCCAGTAACACCATGTGAAATCTCATTAGGTGTTGTCAACTCACAGGTCCCTATAATTCAGTTTTCTCATTGCTCACTTGCTTTGTTTCCATCTGTCCCTCCATCTGCCTGCAATTCAGACGGGTGTTGCAGCGTTGTCTCCTGGCCTGGAAGCAGCTTCCACGTGTGCTGCGAAAGGAAAAGGAGAAGGAGGAGCGACGCAAGAAGCTGGGGCGAACAGTGTTAAAGGTCCTGCCCGATTTCAGCCTGAATCCACCCTAACACCTGCAGGAGGAAACGTCACTGCTGCTGCAGGTGAACTACACCGTAATGCAGAGGACACAGAGAAGTCTTTTGAACGCAAAACACAAACAAAAAGCCAAACTAAACTTGGAGTTTGATTGAGGGAGATAAGGAGTTTTATGCATACAAAGAATAAGAAGAA